TTAATGTGTAACACAGCTACAATGTACACAGTATGTAACACAGCTACACTGAACCCAGTATATAACAGCTACACTGTACTTAATGTGTAACACAGCTACAATGTACACAGTATGTAACACAGCTACACTGAACCCAGTATATAACAGCTACACTGTACTTAATGTGTAACACAGCTACAATGTACACAGTATGTAACACAGCTACACGGTATGTAGTACAGTACATAACACAGCTACACTGTACCCAGTATGCAACACAGGTACAATGTACGCTGTATGTAACACAGTGACACTGTACCCAGTATGTAACGCAGCTATACTGTACTGTACATAGTGTGGTACACATCTACAGAGTATGTAGTATGTAACACTGTTACACTGCTACACTGTAGCTAGTGAGTAATATAGCTCTAGGGTGAAGTCTAGCACAACTCCAAGCTCTGGTCAACGCAGCGTAACTGGCTCAATAACTACATTCTGCACACAATACCACTTATAAAAGCACAAGACCAGCTTCAGTCTCATGAGGCAGCACAGTCTTACCAGGCTCCATGCAGGGCTCCTCACTCTCGCTGGGGGAGGGCAGCGCTGGCAGCAGTGGCTCCATGTTCATGATCAGCTGCCTGTTGCTCAGTGAGTTGAAGCTTCTGCTCTGGCTGAAGCTGGACCTGAAACATGGGGCTGAGTTTAACAAAAGTGAACAGCTTCTCCCCCGAGGTGGGATGGCAGTGAGGCCCACTGTGCCTCAGTAGCCCCATGCCTCAGCCACCCCAGTGCCTCAGTCACCCCATGCCTCTGTCGCCCCCCTGCCTTAGTCAACCTGTGCCTGTCACCCTGTGCCTCAGTCACTCTGTGCCTCAGTCGCCCTGTGCCTCAGCCACCCTGTGCTTCAGTAGCCCGTGCCTCAGTTACTCCATGCCTCATTAGCCCCCTTGCCTCAATCACCTCAGTGCTTCAGTCACCCCATGCCTCAGTCACCCTGTGCCTCAGTCGCTCCGTGCCTCAGTTGCCCTGTGCCTTAGTAACCCCATGCATCTGTCGCCCTCTGCCTGTCACCCTGTTCCTGTCACCTTGTGTGTCAGTCACCCCGTACGTCAGTCATCCTGTGCCTCAGTTGCCCTGTGCCTCAGCCACTCCATGCCTCATTAGCTCCCTGCCTCAGTCGCCTCAGTGCTTCAGTCACCCCATGCCTCAGTTGTCCCATGCCTCAGTCGCCCTGTGCCTCAGTTGCTCCATGTCTCAGTTGCCCGGTGCCTTAGTCACCCCATGCTTCTGTCACCCCCTGCCTCAGTCACCTTGTGCCTGTCACCCTGTGCCTCAGTCACTCCATGCCTCAGTCGCCCTGTGCCTCAGCCACCCTGTGCTTCAGTAGCCCCATGCTTCAGTCGTGCCTCAATGTGCACATGTCATCATTACACATAAGCTCAGCTGTTCCCTGCCAGGCCCAGTACCCAACACTGCAAATTCATTCATTTAACTTATTATCAGGTGCTGGTTTGAACTACTCTCTGTGAGATGATTTATGTGTCTCTATTCTCTTATATATACTCTGCTTGCTGGCTGTTATAGGTCACATGCCGAGACAAATTCCTTGTAACTTACATGGCTAGTAAACGTCATTTGGCTTCCGAAAGCCATGCCATTGTTGTTTTACTCTAAATGGTTTCCCAGGTTCATTCTATGAGTTTCCCAGTGATATCCTTTTATAGACTATAGTCAGACAGGGAATGCAAGGCATTTCAGGAACATTTATTATAGAGGGTGATACTGAGTGGACAGAGAGAGGCAAACAGACAGAGACAGACAGACAGATAGATAGATAGATAGACAGACAGACAGATAGATAGACAGACAGACAGACAGACCCTCTACAGAGCTCTCCAGCTGTTCCAGACTGTGAGTAAGTTAATCGGGGGGTAGCACATGGCAACTGCCTGGTCCTGCAGTGCTGGTGCTGGGTTGGCTTACTGGTGGTTTGGGATCGGGTTCTTACCTGTGCACTTCAGGGGGGTCTCTTTGTATCTTAGAACTTGCCTCTATAACCTCTTTCGCCACCTTTCCACTGAAAAAAGCCAAGGTACAGCTGATATCACATGAGAGAAACTTGCAGGGCCTTCAAGGCAAAACACAGTGAGTGCAAACGAAAGGAACTTCAGCATTCAGTTTGCTTCGATTTAAAATGACATGATATTTACATGATAATAAAATGCCCTACAGTATATCTCTGAGCAGGACAAACGCTTGAAAGATGGATGGGTAACAATCCTAGCACCTGGAGCTGTGTTACATACTGTGCGTGATTAATTCACACACTATCATACATTTGCATAAACAATGCCACCTTAATGTTTCCGTATCTCACAGCAGGTGACACTAAACCACGATGGCAAATCAAGTGACAGCATACTGTACCTGTACCGAAATCGGCTCCCTTTGAAAAATATATTACTGCTGGACACCGTCTTTATTTGGCTGGACTTTGCACACCTATCAAAGAAAAAGCAACAAACTAAGAAATAAGACTAAATTAAAGCACAATTCATTGTCATGTTGTCATAGCAACGGCATATGCTATACAAGTGTGGATAGTACATGAGTAAAAGTTTAATGTCTCATTAACCAATATGTTTCCCGTACTGACCAATATGGCATAAATATTAGCAATAGCAATTCACGCTATTGGTGTAGTTAAAAAAGCGATCACAATATTTGGCATTTAGCTGTGCAGTAAGGCTGTTTCGCCCAACACATTGCCGCGTCCTTCTCACGTAAATCAGGTGTCATATGGTCGCTGACATTGTCCCACTGCCTGTTTGTGCAGCTGCCTGAGCTGTGATGGACCAGCCTCCAATTAAGTGGAAGGCTTTGACGGGAACAACCAGACAGACGCTCAATGTCAGGCTGAGGACAGGCGCAATTTAATAGCCACCCTGGCGGTTAAAGCCTCTGGTTGCTGCTCCTGAATCAGGGGTCCCAGATTACACCCCACAGAAGGGACACTATGACAAAGGTAATCTCATTATCCCTGGGATATGGAGCCAGAACTCATCCCATGATCCAAAGGACAGGAGGAATGGATAACAGATAAAAGCAAATGGATTATACTTTAATGAAAGACGTCTTCTCTCTGCAATTTTGATATTAATTGAATAAGAACTTTTTCAAAACTTATATTAACTGCTAATGAGTACTCTCATCTCATCTCTCTCTTTCTCTCTCTCTCTTCACATAAAAACATGGGATTTTATTACAGGACCAGACTCTTTCTATGAGTTTAGCCATATGGTCTCTTGCAGCAAGTAGGAAGTGTAGGTCAAAGGCACATGATTTTAACATAAGTCTTTAAAGTAGGGTCAGCGCCACAGGGACCCACTTGTAGAAGGCCTGGTTCTCCACCCCACACTTCCACAGGTGCTTGCAGGCTGCCGGCGTGGACGTGTGAAAGGTCAGCACCAGCTTCTTCTGGAACCATGGAGGCAGAAGGATAGACCGGTCAGAGGTGGATAGACTGGGACACGGGAGAGGCACAGCAACATGCTGGGAAAGGGACACTCGTCTCGGGGTGGGGGCGTGGCCGGGGGTGAGGAAGCTGCAAAGGACCTCTCCTCCATTTGTAACTGAGAAGCTTGGTCATATTTACAGCCAGATAAGTGGAAACTGGTAGAGAAATCACATTTATCCACTCAGTGAGGCTGAGGTAAAGTCATCGATACTGCGGGGAAACATGATCCCATAGATGAATTCTCACAGCTCGATGGCAGACTAAGCAGGAGTCTATGAGCTGGCTGAAATCAATCAGAGAAAAGCACCTGAGCCCACAATGGCTGCAGAATGCAAATATAGATGATTTAACAGGTCTCCTAGCAGTAAAGTAATCGCTGCTCGATGTGGGAGGGGCTTGGGGGTGGATCCTGGCGAGGGTTTAACCTCCTGGTGTGAGGTTGTGTGTCTCATGGTGCACTTAGCCCTGGTTATGGGTGTGGTCAAACAGAAGAATCACTGAACCCCCCCCTCCCCAGTCATATCCAACAGCGTGCTGAGGGGGGGGGGGGGTCATGGTTATTCATGCAGGGGTCAAAGGAGGCAGGGAAGGTGCAGACCCAGGGAGTGTGCAAATCTGAACGCTTGTGCTAGGTGGCGTCCCCTGCAGTTCCCGTGAGGAACAGCACCACCAAGCCCTGACCACACTGGGCAGGGGTCTCGCTGACGCCCGTCGGGGTCTTTTTGAAAAGGCCCCGTGATTCTTGGCCAGCTTGGGGGGGTTTTCAAAAAGAACAGTGTGCCCCCAGCAGCCCCGGGTCTTGGCCCAGAGCCGGAAGCAGCGGCTCGCTCTGGTGATGGGTGCCTGGCGTGGCCCCTTGAGCGCCACCTACAGGAAGAACGCGGGACAGCACGCATTGCGTGCCTCTTACTCACCGGCAACGTGCACGAACCAAAACACCGAGAAGAGAAACTGAAACATCAGCTGTACCTCGTGGGACAGCGGGACACAGGTGGAGGCAGAGACAGAGCGAACGGGGCCACCTTAAGGGTGCTACTCCGGGTGGACGGAGGAGAGGGAGACACACAGAGGTGGAGAAAAGCACAGGGATGGGGTGGGGACTGTAAACTGTACACAGACGGAGCATCGGTGAGGGAAACTAAGCCGGCGACAGAGCAGGAACTACAGGAGCATGAGGCCAAACACCGGGGGAACGTCACCGTTTCCATTGTGGGCCTTATGTGCCGCCTTTGGTGTCAAGCCTTTGCTGGGCTGCACAAGTAATGCATTTAGGGATTATTCTTAAGCACTGGAATGAGGAGGATTCACTGACATACCGCTGCAGTGATAACGGGGTTTGTGATCAGTTCTCAAAGCGAAAGAGGCCAACAGCTCTGAGCCGCTACAGTTCCGCTCGTTTCAGTCATATTATCGTAAAATTAAAGGGGGTTGGGGCTGTGGGGAGGGGTGCAGAGATGGGGAGCACACACCCACCAGCGGGTTACACCGCATCCTGCCCGCCAAAGACATCTGCAACACAGACAAGTGGGGTCCTGAGTCACGGCAGCGGAGAGACGCGCATGTGCACAGCCGAGGTGAGACGGGAAGAGGGCAGGGGCACGGGAGCCACAGCACTGCAGCACAGCCACAGCACTGCAGCACTGCCACAGCACTGCAGCACTGCCACAGCAATGCAGGGACGGAAAAAGAACTGCCCGCATTAATCTCAGCAGTGCAAACAAGATGGAAATGCACTGGAATTTCATTTGTTTATATAAACAAGGAGGTACAGTATATCAAATAATATTCAAGTACAGGTCAGAAAGCGTCCGTGTGAGAAAGCTTGTTCGGGCAGGACTCCTGCAGTTACGGTTTGACGTACCTCTTTCTGCAAACCAATTACATAGAAAGTCTTCCCTTCGAATTTCAGTTTGCTTACATCAGCCCTGGAAAAAAGAAAAAACAGCCGGGCAGCTTTTCATTATAATTATTTCTAAACCAGCTTCCACAGACAGACATAAGCAAAAGTACCTGTGTGTACCAAGTGTATAAGAGTACAGCCCTGGAAAAAATTAAGAGACCACTGCAACACTTTTAGTTGCATTTTCTTAGTTAATGGAACTGTGTCTGTGTAAAATATACGTTTGTTTGCTAACTCCAGCCTGGCTCTTCCCTGCTTCTCATTGATGAAGGGCTTCTTCCTGGCTTTATGGGTCCTTAAGGGCTTCTAGGCTTCCTAGCAGTCCTATCTATCCTAGCAGTGCACTTCACACCACTTAACACTGCCGGATAAGTTGCCTGTCATCTCTGGCATTAGAAAGTTGCTTCTGCCCTCTACCTGGCTGGTTTTTGGTTACTGCCAGTGTCTCCTGCTTCTTAATAGCTTGTTCTTGTGTACTGCTGTCTTAAAAACTTTGAGTCTGGAAGCCTACTGCCACTAGAACCAGGATTAAACCAGGATTTAAAAATGCAGATTTTTTTTAAATATTGAGTGATCTCTTAATTTTTTCTAGAGCTGTAGGTCAGAGGTCAGAGGTTACCATTTCAGCAGGTGGATCCGCTTGTTCCCCTGGAACACCACAAAGCCAGTAGCAGTGAACCCCAAAAATGCAGTGGATCCAGTGAAGTCCTAAACAAACAGCCAAAAAGTAAGAAAAAATACATTCTATATCAAAATACGTCTCCTTCTCACAAAACAGAGAAACACATGACACGTGCCTGCAGAAAACAGTGGCATATCAGGCATGGTAGCCACACAGCACTCCAGCCCTACACCGTCTCTCAATATCTTCTTGCCCTTGAGCAATCAAACGAAAGTTGACCTACCCGGGCATCCGTTTATCCAAGCGCTGATACTGAAACTGCATATATCACCCATCTACCACCTCTAGCTCCAAGCTACCACACCTGAAGATCTTGATGCATCCTGATTCCCCCGGATGAAGTGTGGATTGCCTTTGGGGTGCAATACAAAACCTCCAGACTTTAAACGACCCCTTTTGCATCCTGAAATAAGTTTTGCTAAAGAAAGGGCAGGATCTTTTTTTTTTTTCAAATTTCATTGCAGCAGTGTTTTTTCCCAATCTGGGGCTTGGGGACCCACAGTCGATCCACGTTTTTGCTCCCTCTCAGCTCCAAGGAAGCAAAAACATGGACTGTCTGTGGGTTCCTGAGGACCGGATAGAGAAACACGGAATTACAGTAGAGGGAAGAAAAAGCAGGTGGATGCAGGAGGAGCTGCCGTGCCAGTGGAAGCCGCACCTCTGGCTTCCGACATGGATGAGTCACTCTCTCAGGCACATGGGATGCACAATGGTGGTCCCTTTCGTGGTTCAGTGGGAGACTTCTCACTTTTGGATAAAAGCATTTCCCAAATGAATTAATGTAATGGAAATATAGAACCTTGGAACTCAAACGCCTTTTAACTCGACCAACTTGGATGCCTGTTGGATGGTCTGTCGACTGAAATCTTGGAACTCGACCATCCTGCTAAAACTTGTATGGGTCAAAACGCGTTCAGCTCCACCAATATGGATCTTGAAGGGGTCGGTTGAGAAACATCTAGCCGCAACTCAACCAAAAACTCAAAATATGACAAAACAAAACAGACCTTCTAAAACTTGTATGGACTGAGACGTGTCTCCCCTCCCAGACAATAACCCCTCCATCCCTTCTCCTCTCCACCTTCCACGTCCAGTTTGCCATCAGCTCACCTCAGTACAGGTAAAGTACTCATAAATGTCATTTATTTCATATTTATTGCTTTTTTCATGTGTGTATTAGTTTTAAATTGATTGTTCATGCTTTTTATCATTAGTTAGGCAGGTTGATAGGTTTAAATAGGCAATCATTTGGGGGTCTGGAACGGATTGAATTCCTTTATATTATTTCTTATGAGCAAATTCAACTTGGACCTCGACCGGATGGCAAATTACCACTGTAATGCCGATACCCAGCATGACAGGTATAATGCTTTTTGTTCAATAATTTGATTCATATCAAGCAATCCTACTGATTTATTATACACCAGGGAGGAGCAAATCGAGCTTTGTCCTACAGCATCAGCAGCAAGTCACGGCAGCAGAAACACAAAGACACAGCCGTTGCGCTCGTCTGGGGTCCACAGATGCTGACGTCCAGCTTGAACCTCCTTATTTTCAAAGTAAGGAGCTTTGTGTTTAAACTAGTGCTGTCAAACGATAAAATTTTTAAATCAGATTAATCACAGGGTTGCTGTGGATTAATTTCGATTAATCACGATTAAATATCATTCATTTTTAATCTATATTAATCACATTTAATTTTGCATGAGCAAACAGACTCAAGAAAAAATGAAATATATATGCACTTAACATGTTTAACCCCACATGTTGAACATGAGTCGGATGCATTCCATCTGCCACAGAAGTGCAATACCATGGACCCATATCAAAAAGCAAGATTTTTTGCTTAGCCGGATAACTTGTCGGATTTAAGGTACCTCAGTTTAAATGGTCTTTATCTTCGTTCGCTTACAATTAGCACGAACTACTGTAAATCCGACAAATAACCCAACTAATCATGAAGTCCAATTCTAGCCCAGTTAATTGCCATTGTTAGCAATATCAGTTAACACATTACGCGTGGTGCTTTACATATAAAACTCCGTAGCAACACATCCACAGATAAGTTGGACGGTATAGCGTGTGCGACTGATTTAATGAGCCACAAATGAGAAGTAGTGCTTAAACAGTATAAAACTACAACTTTCCCTTCTGTTGATAAAGGGCACAGCCATCTTGGATTCTGAACTCGGGATCCTCTGTGGTGCTCCGAGATATTTCTTGGATCTCCGAGAAACGGGAGTGCATGTCGTCACTTCTGGCTTCAAAACTCTGGAATCCGACTCAGAATACGAGTTCCGAGGGCAAATGGAACGCACTAAAACTGCCCGAAATGGGTTGACAGAGACATTTTAGGGATTTTGAATCAGTCTGCGCTGCAGATTGGCTAATTGCGTTTAAAAAATTTAATCAGATTAATCATGATGATGGATTAATCTGCGTTAACCCGTTAATTTTGACAGCCCTAGTTTAAACGCTTGGCCATCACAGGCCTAAAAGCAGAGGCAGGCGTCACCTTGCAGGGGTGGGGGTCGACGCCGTACGTCTCCAGCGTGTGCGCTCTCTGAAGGAGGTTCATCTCAGCCACTGCCGGGCACTGGCCCCTGGAAGAAAACGACACCAAATGTCACTGTCGGACGCTCCTGCTGCTTGACAGACTGCAAACTGGCCTTCTGCTTTCAGAAAGATGCCGTCATACTAGTGAAGCCCAAGCGTGACTAAAAGTTCTTTCTTGAATGTGAGTAGCTCAAATATTAAAGCACAAAAGATGCAGTGGCAGACCTAGACCATTTCAATTCAGGGGTCAGACTGGGGCCAGTTGTTCTGTTAAGGGGACCAGGTGCATTTGACCTTAATGTCCGCCAAGTGTTACTTACACTGGATTGCCAGCATTAAGAAGATTTATGCAATGCTTTGCAGTCGCATTTTACAGTTTTTACAAATATCTGATGTTTGTAATATGATTTCTTGTTTGGACTGTCTTGCTTTTTTCTGTCATTAACTTCACTTTTCACCAACTGAAGGAACTCGACCACCCGGCGCAGCTACATTACAAGCCCGTCAAGAAAATGTGCTTACATTTGCGTTTCACCTGTTCCCAGCGAACAAAATTTTAGTGCACATACATAAATGTAAATGATGCTAATAGTAGTAGCAATAATAATACATTTATTTCAAACCCATGTAGCATATTTAGGGAGCCACATACATGTTGTCATGGGGGCACTGGCCCCCTGACCCCCCCTGGAACCACCCCTGAGTGTTTGGCACCACAGAGGAAGCGGAGAATTCAGGAGCTCAAAGGAAATGCTGCGCGTTTGTGACCAGAAAGTCATCGCCAGGCCCACAACCAGAAATATATTTCGAGGGGTGTAATTTCACTGTCTGGTTATGTGCCTCATTCATAGCAAATAAATTTCAGGGTGACGGGGACGGCTATGTAGTAGCGGTGTCACTGGGGCAGACTGGGGCAGCTTTTCCTGCTGAGCCGTCATCTCTGTTACTTTTCACAATCTTTGCACTATTGTTGGCCTAAGAACCATTTCACTAATGTTTGTTAGCACTTTCTGTAGCCAAACAGGTATGTTTCCACCTGGATTTATGGGTCCAGAACTCCATCTGACAGAATTCACTAACGCGACACACTAAACAGGATGATTCTTTGTTTTTATGCATCCTCTGCATGCAGTGCCCAGGGTCCATTTATAATTCAGTAGGCGTTCCACAACCCCCTCTGGATATGCAGTTATTTGCAATGCTTTAGGCTTCTTTACTTTGCCCTCATGTTTGCCGTCATGCCCATTTGAAGCCGGGCACGTAGCATGGAAGGGTTCTGGAACCATTCTGAAGCCATTGTGGTGAAAATGGGGTAAACTGAGAGGGACAGTCCTGATTTTAACAGGTCAGCGTCAGCCTGCCTTGTCTCATTCCTGTGGATCTCCATGATCTTCCTCTCCAGCTTCTGGCTCTGCTTGGGGAACAGTTGGAAGTCGCTGATATAGTCTGCTGGGTGCTCATCCGGGTCGTAATCCCCAAGTTCAGCTGCAGGAGACAGACAATATGATTATATTCCAGGGTCAGTGATATGAAGCTTCATTCCTAGCCGCTAAGGACGTGGCTGCCCACACTCTGGACACATCAAAACCCGTGGAATGGAGGTTTGAGAGATAAAAGCTCATTCTTATTACTAATCGGCGCAATGGATAAGGGGACGACCCTGGTGCCAGTCGGACTTCCCTAGCAGAACCTCTCAGACAAGCCCTTCTTCTCTTGGGCTGAGGCCCCCTATCCAACTCAAGCGTTATACCTCTGTCATACTCATAAACCACAATCTGTCGGCATGCTTCTGCTATACTGCATTTTCTCTGCCCTTTCCCAGAGTAATTTTTAGTATTTTTAGTAAGGATTACACAAAATTAAAGAACAAATTATATATGCTTTGCATTACTATGTATAACAATTCAACAGATTATGTCCAGCCGGTGTAGTTAGCCAAAATTACAATTGCAGGCTCTTCGATCTGAGGCTCATAATTTGCTAGTCATCCCTCAGACAAGATTAAATACTGGGGGGATCGATTCTTTCAATCTGTGATTCCAAGGCTCTGGAATAATCTCCCGCTACAATTACGTTAGGCAGACTGTGGATTCTTTTAAAAAACAGTTTAAAACTTTCTTGCTTAATCAGGCTTTTGTCTATATTTTTAATGATATTAACTGTATTATCATCTGTGTTATTGTCTATTTTAATGTCTGTCTTAATGTTTCTCATTTACTCCTTTTTAATTTTATTTTCATCTTATTTTGATGTGCAGCGCTCTGTGACTACATGTCTGTGAAAGACGCTTTATAAATAAATCTTACTTACTTACTTACCTACATGTTCACTATGAATCAGATTACAGATCGACGATGCACATGCAAGTTTTTGGTCTACCTGCCTTTCCTAGCCTACGAAAGTTACGCTAGGGAACCAAGGCTCAATCTGCATGCATCCTCTGTAGCCGGGCTATAATAGTGTGAGCTGGTACTCCTGGACTGAGCGGTCAGCGCTGTAAATGATTAGGTGTGATCCTGTTCCTTAGAGCTCTTGGATAAAACAACAGGAACATGACTGGGGTCCTCACCTTGCACGATACAAGCCCCGAGATAAGCTGCATCGGCGAAAGGACACAGTAGGCGGCCATGGTAAATATCTCTCTTTAGCTGTAGGTATAGGAGGTACCTGGAAAGACAGGGCAAAAAGAAGCTGTAATACATCTCATTTACCAAGACCCTTCAATACAGGTCATACCTAATCTGGCCACTAGAGGGAACAGCACAGTTGTTTAAAATTCACATCAAAGAGACTGAGCATACACACACCAAAGATCATTATCATAGCATATGAGCCACACCAGCTACGTCATGCATGTAATTTCACATTAATAAGCAACTCCATTCGATGCTGAAAGTCTCCATTCCTGCACTCCATCACAATGACTCATCGTCAGTTTTACGGACAGGAGCAGCATGCGTGTCAGATGAGGAAGAAGTCACAAGCGCCGAAACGCAGCCTGTCATCACTGGAGACTATTTGCAGATACACTGCCTAATACCCCTGACTCAGTCTGCCGACTAATCTCCATAGTAACAGGACAACCAATCTGAGCCCCACTTGAGGAGCGGAGACGCATGCGAGGTGGGGCCCATCACTGGCCCCATTTTCCTCCAATTATTAAGAGCCACTCACAAGTGCTTTGAATGACATCACAAAATGCTTTGTTCAATATTCTTTTTTTTTTCATTCATCTAATGCTTTAATCCAAGTGACTTACTGTGTTACAATTTTTATGGCTGCTTCACTGGTGCATGAGCACACAACCTCTGCAAGAGAAATACGATGCACTACTTGTTGAGCTACAGGAGACATATGACAGATAGGGTCCCTTTGGTGGCCATAACCATGTTCACAAAACAATAATGATCAGCGTGATTAAAGTCCTCTTAACCAGGGTCGATATCTGATTGAGGGAGAGCCTCAGAACGGAAGCACTCTGCGCTCTGGCCTCAGTAAAGTGCATTTTAATGTACTCAGACAGGGAAAGCCTTTAGACAAAGCAATTTTTTAAAAAGTCGACAGACTGTTAATTGATCAACGTGCAAACTTGTATTCAGAATGTGTTAATACAGTCAATCAAATTCTTATAATCTTTCACACAGCACAGTACAGTAATTTTATGATTGCAGTCACAGACTTTTATAAAACAGAATTTCTGCTTGTGGGGACCAAAAAAATGTCCCCACAAGGTAAAAAGCATCAGGGTCCCCACAATGTAATATATACAAAACCACACACACACACACACACACACAGAGCAGGGCTGGAATATTAACCCCCATTTTAACCCCTGGAGGTTTAAGGCAACAGTGCTATCAATTGAACCACCATATACTTTATATACAGCAAAATGAAAAACTGCTTACACAATAAAAGCATGTTTTGGTTATGGTCTGTGTCACGAGAGCGTATTTCTTAAGGGACCAGAGCACAGAAGGGTGCTTACAGAGCTCATGCACCAGCAAAAAGCCTGAATAAAACTCAGACGTACACATTACCCAAGGGTGAAGGTGTGGGTGATGTAAGCAGCTGGCTCAGGCTGTATCAGCACTGTCAGGGTGCTGTGAAGGTGATGTCACTCTGAACAGGTGTGCTTCCCGGTTACATCACTAATTGTTTGGAGCAGCTGCTACAAGGGGCAATGTGAGCAATGCGTGGAGGTCTGGCACCTTGTCTTCAATAGCAAACACCCTTACATTATACATATCAAGTACCATGAGTAATGTGTTTCTCACCATTCAATCCATGCATTTGCATAGGACCCCTAAGGTTTGGGGGGTGGGGGGGGGGCGGGGTGTTGGCCACAAACAGTCATGACACTAGGAGGTTACTTTAAGAGTGGGGCCCGAGAAAGAATAGACCCACCACTGATTAACATGCCTGGATTTTCTAACTCTGCCAAACATTATATTGATATTTAATAAGTAGCTAAAATTACATATATACTGCATTCTCCTTATAAAAATGCAGGGAAAGTTCAGAACGATGCACAGCTGTGGAGTGACGCAGCAGTCTGAGATAATGATTAGCCTATTTAATCACCACTCACCCACAACAGATAGTAGTTCCCAATTATAAATGCATCAACCATCTTAATAGTTGATTCCCCTAAGGAAATGAGGTCATAGGAAGTGAGGTCATAGGAAGTGAGGTCATAGGATTCCACAGTCCCTTCCCTAAAAATAAGTCAGCCTAAAATTTGCATTGATATACAGTAGCTCAAATGATGATAATGTTGAAGCAACATAGTTTTGTTTTTGCTTGTAATACTGGATTAAATAATGAAAAAAAAAAATTCATTGAAAAAACTGCAGTGAGGGAAAATAGATTAATTGCAAAAACAGACAGTCAGGCCTGGAAAACTCCTCCCGAAACTGGAGCAATGTAGACGGAGGCTCAGATATGTCAGCACAGTGAATCAGTCTCCCTGGCGTCCAGTCAAAGGGTGTAGGGGTTACCATGGGGATGGGTACACTGGACGTAAGCAGCACGATGAGCAGTGCTACAGCGGCAAGTGCTGTGAGGGCCATGCTTCCTGAAAAAATGCCGCCCCCCCCCCCCCATCAACAGTGCCTAGGCTTGCTGTGTCCCTGAGTAAAGAGGATGTGTTTGGATCCACCAGGAAGTTCCAACCTCACAGATATGGCTGGGTGTTAGGATTAAGTGACTCTGCGAGACAAACCACTCAGAGGTCACATAAGAGTTCATCGCGATCCAGGAGTCTGAGAAACCAGAAACACTGAAATAAACACAAGGGGAGCAATAAGCAGTCGGCCAAGGAAGGGTGTCTATGCACAGCTCAGGGTTTCTTACCTTGTGTGGGAACATACATGAGCAAAATATCTTTATTAAGGTGTCACTAATATCAGTTGATTTTACAACCTATAAACACAATCAATTATGAACAACGAAGTAGGAACAGCATCCTTTAATTTCATTATCATTCATTACATTATCATTTTATTTATATGACCATACCATACATACTCTGTGCTGCTGAAATCTCTACTAAGTTTTGTTCGCCATAAAATCATGTCTAACATACTATACACACCCAAGCAAAAATCCAAATCATTTAAAAAAATGTTCCTATATTGTCATATTTACTATAAAAGACAAGGGCTTGCTACCTCTCTCCAGTCACTGAAATTGTTTTTCGTGAATTCTTTATTCTGCGTAAAAGGTTGAAGTACCTCTCGGCGAAATGTTCCCTCCAAATTATATAACACTGCTGGCTGCTGTCCACGGGCCAAGACACAAAACACAAACAAGCCTATTTTTAGCACTAACAAAAAATTACGCAAGCACTATGCCGAGGAAATTCCAGACGCTGTAAACACAGGGAGCGATGTATAAAATCATCAAGCAATGATGCAGTTCCCCTTTAAGGAAGAGAAATGTTTAAAGTCCTGCTTTCTAGGGAGCATTCTCCCACAAACAGGGTATTCTGGCAGCTACTGACTCAGGCTTTTAGAGCATTAAAATTTCAATTCAACTAAAAACATTGGGCCTTTGAATGGCTTATTTATAGAGGCTCAAAACAGCAGATCTACGTCAAGGCACTTGTAAGAATGACTCACCAATGTAAACTCACTGACATCTCACATGACCCTTCAGAACATTTTCCTTTAACTAAATATTAAATATGGTTGTGCCTTAATCTGTCTTTGTTATCCTAAACCTGCATGGGTTCACACATGTTTTACACTGTAAGAAGGCATTATTTATTCCAAAGTGCAAAAAAAAGGACAGGAACCTTTGTGAGGTACCATCACTAATGGTTATGATGGTTCTAGATGTGAGGAGAACCTGGGTTTGAACAGCTGACCTAAAGGTTATCCCAAACACCTGCATACACACCGGTCCTTTGTGGGTAAGACTGCCCACCCCAGACTGAGACCATGGAACCTCTACAGCCTGCGACCCTGGCAAGACCCCCACCCACCAAGAGTCTGCATGGATGGACTACAATCTGACTGTGGGATAAAATGAGATTTACAGGTAAGGGCCACTCCGGTCTCCGGTCACCCATAAGCTGGTTTCAGCCAAAGATTACCAAGCGGGCCCCCTCCTTTTTTATTAATTTGCCACAGGCTTTACGGCAGATCCCGCTGAATCGCTCCTGTCAGCCAGCTCTGCTTCTCACCCGCGGGGGGAATGCGTCTTCCCCGGCCCACTGCTCTGAGGAGCGCTAAATCACACAGGGTCACCGGGCACAGCGGAGGTGGGACTGGGTTGGCGGGGGGGTTGGAGGATATTTTTCAGGAGCTCTAGCCAATGAAGCGTGATAGCTCACGGTGCCCTTGATAACATTCTGTTAATACCCTTACACACACACACACACACACACACACAGACAGTGCAGCCTCCACTCAGTCATGAACGTGCAGCGATGGATCTTGCTATATATGTGACTGGCACTCAGTGTATGTGTCTTGCCAGAAAGAACCACAGCACACACATGATCCTCATGGTCTCCCGGGGAAGGTGAAACCTGGGGCGATGAACTTAGCTAAACTCATCAGTTGAGTTTCTATGCTGACTGATCATCAGAAACACCGAACCCAAAGTGATCCTAGTGTGACCGATCTAATGGGATCAGTTGCATAGATCTAAAGAGGTTAACAGAGGTTGTGGCTGATCTCCTGGACATAGCTTATGTTCATATGCAGGCTTCAGGCTGGTTTGTTCGCTCCCTTTCTTTGAGTTTGGGTGTTAATGGTCCTTTTTGATGTCGCTCAGTTAAAGAGGCACACGCACCCCCCTCACGCGTGTTACATGACTCACGTGGTATTTCGGTAGCCTACCGCAGAGCTGTCCCATCTCCGGCCTGCCCGCTCTGCTTTCCCCTACATGTCATGAAAAATTCAGGGGCGAGAGCGTCTCCAGCTTCAGAGAGAGGCGGCATGGGCGACGTGCCTGGGGACAGCGCACACTTCAAATCGAAAGTCCCACCAAGAAACAGGCACAGCAGGGATCACAGTAAGGTTTATGTGACCTAGACCAGAGAAATTTCATTCACATTGGCTTTGCTTGCACAACAAAATGATGATGCCACCTGAAATAAATAATCCTCCATGTGCAGAAGCTGTTGCCCCTGCCCCCCCCCGTGATCACTCCCCCTCACGTCAGCATCTAGTGGGTTCATCGATCTCTTCAACAGCTTGTTCGCTGACAGCGCCTCACTTAGGCCAAAGATCAGCAGAAAGCTGCAGCCAATGGTTAAGAAGGTGAAGGGTTACCTCTGATGTCATCAACGCTCCCAGTAACACGGTGAGAGACTGCAGCATGAAATGCTCAGCTATGCTCTGCTTTACTGTAGCCTGATCCATAGCTCTGTTACCTGGTAATTACAGGACTTTGACCTCGATCTGTTGATTTGATCTTTGATTTTACATGACTTTGATCTGTTGAAGTCCAACAAATATAAATCTCTCTGGTGTGAATTGTATTTAAACTAGGCCAAAATTAATTTTCCACATATTCCTCTATTTTAAAAAATGAATCTTCATTTTATTATAAATATGTAGGCTTAGCTATATGTGGAACAACACAACCAGTATTTGTTTCACTCTGACAAAGCACGTACCATTACTTATGTGCATTACAAGTTGTGAAGAAACACTTGGCAGCTTCGATTCTGAGTCAGCATCTGCATGCTGCACTGCTGCAAAGAAGCGTAAAAAGTAAAATGACACGAGCAATGAGTTATGCTTATTTTTTGGTTTGTTCTCAAAGTTTTTATTTGATTTTAAAGGCCACCATAATTGAAATGGTATGATACATGCATTTTTGGTTTGTTTGCAAATAATCTTTATTCTGCTTTATTTTATCTGAGAATATGTAGGGCCAAAGCTAAAGGCAATTCTTTTTCTTTAAAAAAATCTTTAAAACAAAGGCTTTCATAATATTTCTTTTTGCATTATACATGTGAGTCTATTGACGGGACTTATTTTATTGGAAATCATCTACTTTTCAATAAATAATATGATGCATCTACATGCCGTGATGATGTCATTCCTGATACAGCCTATCTATCAATTGATTTTAAGTTCAATAATAAGCACAGACAATATTTAACCGGAATTTCTCCCATTTGTTTGGGACATTGAAAGCTTCCCGGACACACTGATCGGCACCGATTTTTTTGTAGCACAAACAATGAATTGTTCTAGAACTGAGCGATGAAATGTTAGCAGTTGAGAGGCAGCTGGGCAGCCAGAAGGAAGAGGAGCTCATACCGGCCTGTATTTCTCTTTCAGTCCGTGAGCGCGGGTGCCTGAGAGGGTGCACATGCGGCAGTAATTATACTCACAATTATAATCACATTCCTAAGGAGTCTCCGCCACTATATTCACACTCTGGTGCTGCAGACTGAGCACTAATGGAAATTACATCACATAATCCAGTTTGGTGTTATACCTGTTTAATTTTTTATTGCACTAAGTGTATAATTAGCATGTGTGCATTGTGCGCATATTGGTTTACTTAGCTGAAACTTACACACGCACACCGGCCGCCCCGAGCGGTGAACAGGTGGTAGTTCTTCACGGGAAGAATCTCGGACAGCAGCCAACTGTCAGAACTCCAGGACCCGCGTGTCGGACAGCCGGCCAGGAGGCAGCCGCAGGGCCATGCCCACCTAGCCACACCCACAGGACCACGATCACATGACCACGCCCACCTGGCCACGCCCACGTTTACACACGGCCGGAGACGGCGGATCCCGCCAGCTGCCGCCGCTCTCCTGAGACTGACCTGCTCATTTCTGGATCGCTGGCCATAACCAGTAGCCGCCAAAGCCCAAGCAAGCCTTTGAAATTCCTTTGCTTTTTCTCTCTGTTGGAGACGTCCCCACCATCCTCCCTCACCCCACACTTTCACTGGTAAGATCGGAGGAATATGCTACAGAACTCATCAAGTCCAGGGACTCAGTCAGCCTGTGCTACGAAGCACATGACAGATGTGTGCATCCATTAAAAAGTCAACACACACACATATATACACATCGTACGTGCATTTTAATTCTCTCGTAATTCTTCCTCCATATGCTTCTCCTCCGCAAATATAAAATGTAAAAACACAAACTGACATCTGTGAAGTGTTACCCTTTAAGCAGGCATGCACAGTGACCATCTGGACACCGAGGCTGTCCAGAATAAATGCACGTTGCGGAAATTTCAGGCAGATACATATACTGTATGTATATATATAGCACTCAATACAAATATCCACCTGCTTCCATAAGCACTTATACAGAAGAGGGTCGCAGAGGCCCTGGAGCCTGTCCCAGGAAGCAGAGGCCATGAGGCAGGGGACACCCTGCACAGGATGGCAGTCTGCTGAAGGGCAAACAACTGCACACAAAGTCACGTACACATGCACACACAACGGGGCAAGTTATGAGGCCGATCCAGCTAACCTTGCGTTTTGGGGCTGCGTGGGGAGGAAAACTTCGCAGGAAGACCCTGGAAAATGCTCACAAACACAGGGGCGCCGCATGAACTCCACTCACACAGGGAAAATCGAACCCACAACTCAGTTCTGTAGGTAAGGCTGGCCCCTTTCCATGGTGACTTCCAGAATGTAATACCTTGCTCCACCCAGGGGGGCGGCGCCATCAGTGCCAAGAGAAAACGGACGTACCTGGTCAGCTCCTCCTTGATTTTCATTGGTTCATAGGGGTAAAACTTGACCCTGAAGCACATGGTGTACGGAGGCTGAGCTGTAGCACAAAAAAATGGGGGCCGGGGTGAGGGGTGGGGCAAGAAGGAGAGGCAGCAAGGCATCGATTCAAACTGGAGGCAATCAAATGGAACCAAAAGTAGGTCTGTAACACCTCCCCAATAAAACAGGGAGATTTTGCTTAAAAGATCTGATTTAATACTCCATTGGATCTTAACAAATTCTCAAGTTAATTTTTAATACTATTTCCTTTTAGCTGTTGTTCTGAGTAGAAATAAAAATTTATTACATGAGTGATTTATAAATTTGTTACTGTTCATTGGCATCACTTAAGGATGGTTTTATAAATGGCGACAGTGACGGATATTTCATTTTTGGTTCAGGGACTGTCTAAATCAGCGGTGGCCAATCTTATCCGCAAAGGGCCGGTGTATATGCAGGTTTTTGGGGTAATATTGAATATTGAACTGCCTCAGCCAGTGGACAGGTGATCCTCTCTATACAGTTAGAGAACCAAAGCGTGCTTTTCACTGCAAATTTCAGCAGGAAAATACAGTGGACTGGAAACAGTCAAAAGGAGGCCATTTACAAAAAACTAACAACAGGAGCCAATGGAGACCGAAAAGCTCACAAACCAGTCAGTGAATGTTTAATACTCATAGGAGGGATGGAGCTGGTTCCCAGGGAAACCATCAGCCCGGCATGCTCACTTACTCCTGTGTGTCTGTGTGTTCCTGTAAATGGACGTGCTCACTTACTCCTGTGTGTCTGTGTGTTCCTGTAAATGGACGTGCTCACTTACTCCTGTGTGCCTGTGT